TATTCCATTTAGCCTAATAACTGACTTGATAGATGAATTCTTACCTGGTCTCACATTTTCAGCGTTTTTCTGTGTGACTTGTTTAGGCATGCTATTGTATTTGCTGCTGCCAGTTGTGCTATTTCCCTCGTATACCTTTTCTTTAACCTTCATTTAGTGGTCCTTAAATACTATACATTTAGTGTGTATAATTAAATCCTCAAGCATAGCTTATGGCCTGCATTTAGACCTCTAATAAATAAAAACACTCAAGTCAATTTATGGCGTTAACAAAGCAACCCCATTTAGTTGTACCAACCAATACTCAACTTTCGGGTCAGATAGCATGATAGATTTAGTAGGGACAGATAAAAGATATTGAAGGTAGTCCTGATTTCGTTCTGACCCATGATCTTCTGTTTAACCATTGATGCCTGTAGGTTACTTCAAAGTACGGCAACTCGAGGAGTCCGTTCGACAAAGGATGCTGTACCAACCTGATGCACGTGACTTGCAAGCCTCTTGGACCAAAGTAAACATTTTCTATTCACAAACCAATCTTGTAGACTCATAAGAACTCCTGTTACTGGCGCCGCTATGCAAATGAACCTACACTGGCAGTACGAAGCAGCTAAGTTGAAATCGCGGAAGGCAGGTCGGCAGCCTGCTGTGGCAATTTCCTCGCATAATGGGGTGAAGAACACACCTATTTATTTCTGTGCTTGTTGCATTTTTTTTAACTAAATCATATATGGAGAAACTTAGTGTAGATTTGACCAATTTGGAGACGTTAATTCTTAAACGTTTGCCTAGCTGAGCCTTTTATTATTAACAACCTTTTGAAAAGAAAAAAGTCAGCTTATGCAAGATTTTAGAATGCGTGCTTTCTTCAGAAATTCAAATTATCCTGATTTCGTCTATTTTAACCGTCACGAAAAACTTCAGGATTACCATTTAGGTGGCATTTCCAGTTATTATTCAACCAAAATAACGACCGCCATCACAACCATCTTCATTAACAGCTATTATTATAATTATGTTGGCTGTTGGTCGCTATCATTCAAACATCATGAGTGTAACTGAGAGGAAAGTAACATTATTTGGGATATCTTAAGGAACGGTATTTCCAATAACGATTTGGATTCAACTTTTTTCGGTAACAGATAAATCATGCGCACCCACTACACTGTAATGTCTCTGGTTAAATGCTTCAGTTTTCTATTATACCTTGTTGCTGTTGCTGTTTTAAAAATAAGCCCTTACCACCCAGGCGCACAAAACTGCTTAAGCCACTGGCTTTGTTACGAGCGCCCTATAGACACGTTTATTTATAGCTTGCTTGCGGTTTGATCCTAATTTCGGCTGTGCCATAGTCATATTCGTGTTCTATTTTGACATCATTGAAGACAACCTTCTTGCATTTAGTCATGCTAACACCAACCAATTTCCAATTTCACAGACAATGCTGGCGGTTGACGGATTGTCAGTTGAACTTCTCGCCAAGTCTGGCCGCTCCTCACCCAATTCTGGATTGCGTGTCTCTTCGAGATTAGGCAAGACTGAAGGTGACGTTAGTCCATCCACACCCTTGTTTATCTCACAGCTGCCATCGGGCGAAGCACTGACAAATCAAACCAATGAGCACACTCTCAACCCATCCAGTCAACTCATTGTGTCCAGCTTCCAGGAGTCTCCCAGTGTCTCCCTCGTAATGTCGGACCCCACTGATAGTTTTAGGCACTGTGAACATAAGCGTGCTTCCACAACACTAAAGAGTACGGCCTCCGATGCTGTGGCTAGCGTCCTGTCCAAACGCTCCGATCCCTTGCCAAGTGAACGTTCCAAATATCTACCCGGAGGAGAGATGGAGCAAAAGCCTGCGCCCTCGATTGCATTGTGCCAGCTACCACATTCATCCGAATCTGACCGGTCAGTAGCCGCTGGTGGCGGTGTTCCCGTTTCTTCGCTTGCTTCTAAGAACCAGTATCAGCTTTCAATGCCTTTAACTACTACGCAGGGCAGTATTAGTCGTCCTCTGCAGCCATCGCGATCCGAAGACTCCCCCACAGTACGCAACTACTGCGAGGACTCAGTACCCCTGTATGCTTGTGAGCACGCCGCGCTTCCACGACCTGCACAATTTGTTGGTCCTCCGGAGCCCCCTAAATTCACCCCTCAGCAGAACCTTCTTGCTCATGATGAAGGTCGGATGAAGCCGAGCAACAGCTCTGCATCCGTTCTCCAAAGCAACAAACCAGCACCATGCCTCTACTCAAGGGATCCGAGTGGTGCTT